GTGTGGTTGACCTCTCAACAACCAACATGTCACATTTAACTTACAATTACTCACGGAGAAAATGTTTGAAATGCAAACCTGCAAAATTTTATACGTTATAGTTTAACTTTAACGATTAGGAGAAAATGGAAAAAAATTACGTATTGAAAACCGAAAAAGAAAAATCACCAGAGAAAAATTTACATTTCCAAGCTGAAAAAATCAACCCAAAAATTACATTTTAGAAATAAATAATGTGTACATCCAATTTGCAATATGAATACAAAATATTTCACAACAAGACATAGGTATCAAAGAGGAATCTGATGAATCAGATGTATAACCTTCAATATGTAACAAACAAACATATTACACTATCACAATTAACACATAACATATAGAACATGTAATGGCTTAAACATAATATGTTAATTCACGATCACATAACATTGATAACATTTAACAAATAGAATATAACGTATGTAATCAACTGAATTTATCAGAATATGATCACATTTAACATAAATTTATCGTAGTGACGTGAATATTTCTATAGTCCCCACGTGTCATTTGTCCTTTCATTCACTTTTAATGTACATTCACTCATCAGTCATACTCTAAGTTGACGATGATCCAGTCGCTGATGTCCAGATCCACTGTCATTGACGATTCTGTGAGACCTGGACACTTACTAAACAAGCGGAACAGCGCATAAATGCATTTGAATATAAATGTTACAGACAGGTTCTAAGAATATCTTGGGTAAAGAAAAGAACAAATGCATCCATACTTCAAGAGCTGAATATTGAAGAGGGTTGGCTAGTAAAGACAATAAAACAAAGAAAATTGAAATATTTTGGTCACTTGAAACGTCATGGAGGTCTAGAGAGAACAATAATGGAGGGGTATATGCCTGGGAAGAGAGGAAGAGGAAGGCCAAGGAGAAGATGGGTGCAGGATGTGGCAGATGATCTCCAGATGGGTGTATCAGACGCAGGACATCTTGCTCATGATAGGAAGGTTTTCCGGAGGGTTGTTATGGCAGCGAGGTTCCGCGAGGGACATGCTACTGAATGAATGAATGAATCTAATAATCTATAGTATTATTATTTTCGGCTCTCCTTTGAATCGTTCCCCAAAATGGCGGTTTTAATATGATGGCGTTCGAAAGAGAGCTAAATTGGCCAATTTCTGGCCATAAAATATCAAAAAATATCCGAATGCGGGTCAGTTCTATTAAAAATATATGTGCCGGCTCCGGATAACAAAACAAATGCTCTGACAGGGTCTCGGCGATACGTTGCTTGCCGACCTGCTTCTGCGAGTGTGCCTCACCGCCGAGCGTATCCCCCGCGCCGCTAGGTGCGGCATGGATGGGGGCTAAACTAGATGGCTGGGACTCACGAGCGGCAGCTACCGCATCTCCTGCAACTTCCTCCAATTACTGTGAGTCCCAGGCACCTAGTTTAGCCCCCATCCGCGCTGCGCGTAGCGGTGCGGGGGATACACTCGGCGATGAGTTTAATCGCGTTTGACGCATGCCGACAAGTCTGACATCTACCACTGCTAAATCATCCAATCGGAAAAACGCAGAATTGCTAATCAGCTTTCATCGTCTGTAATGTCTCGAAATTGGTCAACAGTCACTAATATCGTCTGCAGAAACGCTCGAAATTGTTGTCAACGGTCGGTATTTATCGTCTGCTACTAGTATCGTGTGCAATTGATTGTCAAGTAATCCTAGTTTTGCCGCGATTTGTTTCTTGGCAGAAAGTCCATATTTTAGATATACGCGAACACCATCGTTCGGATATTTTTTGATATTTTAGGGCCAGAATGTGGCATGCCGCCATTTTGGGGAATGATTTAAAGGAGCGCCTTATTTTTTTCCTCTTTGTAGCATTCACCGCCGGCTTTTAAAAACTCTAGCGGAAAGTTCGGCTATCTTCCGAATAACGGTCCTAAATTAACGGGGCAGAAAATATACCCTAACAGAGCCTCAGTCACATGTCAATTGTGCACTTCAAGGCCTAGACCGCCACCGCCGAATTGCGTACTTCCAGGGACTATACCACCGAGAGTAACCCACACACCGCTCGCGTGGCGTGGATTGGGGCTAAACTAGATGGCTGGGACTCACAAGCAAATAAAATGAAGGTTGCTGCAGGAAATGCGCTAGCTGCTGCTCGTGAGTCCCAGCCATCTAGTTTATCCCCAATCCGCGGCGTGGGGGATACACTAGGCGGTGGCACAAGTCGGAAGAGAGCAATTTAAGTTGCTGGAAGTGCGCAATTGACACGTGACGGAGGTTCTGTTTGGGTATATTTTCTGCCTCAATAATTTGGGACCGTTATTCAGAAAATATCGGAAAGTTCTGGTTATTTTCATCCACTTCTGGTCTTTAGTTTAGTAGGGATGCTAGCGAAGTTTTATATGTATTTTATTAAAGACACATTCAGACATGTGTGCATGCTTGATAATTTTGAGCCAGGAGAGGAGTGGGTCAAGGTGTCCGAACAAGTTTTAGACTTGTGTAGGGTTCTAATCACATTAGGTCCTGAGTGCAGTGACTGGCCAGCTGATGCTGCAGAATCAGAAGTTCAACAAATGATTCATGACATTTCCTACCTAAGTGATGTGATTATCTATACAGATGGCTCTGTGTTGAGGGGCAGACGAAGTGAATAGGGTTTCAGGCTATCCTCCGAATAACGTGCACATATTATGGCGGCCGCAAAAACACCCTAACAGAGCCTTAGTCACATGTCAATTGCGCACTTCCGGCGACCTAATTTGTGAACTTCCGGCGACTACCACCACCTCTGAGAGTATCTCCTACGCCGCTACGTGCGACATAAATTGGGGCTAAACTAAATATCTGGGACTCACGAGCAGCAGCTTCCGCATCTTCTGCAGCTTTGCTCGTGAGTCCCAGCCATCTAGTTAAGCCCCAGTCCACGCCGCTCGTAGCGAATTTACATGGGACTGAGGCCCTGTTTTTGGCCGCCATAATATGTGCCCGTTATTCGGAGGATAGCTGGGTTTCAAATAGGTTCATAGCAAAAGCGAATGTATGTCGCCTAGTCCAACAAAGCCTTGCATATGTATGATATCACAATATCTAGAGGTGGAGGCAGTCTTCAGCTGCCTTGAGAATCAGCTATAGTAGCTATACACACATGCTGTGATTGTCACTGACTCACAGAACATGTTGAGAAAGGTGAAAACAGGCATGCATCACTTCAGAAGTCCCAGGTATTATATATCCTTTGGATATTTTCTCCAGGTTATGCCGGTGTGTTGGGAAATGAGCAGGCAGTTACACTGTCTGGCTCTGCACCACTTGGTGGTGAGTTAATGAATGACAAATTAGATATTGTGAGGGCCCTTTGGGAGCGAGTGAACAGTGCGGAGGCTCAGATAGGTCATTACGGTCTAAGGAGAATGGCGCTGCGAGGAGTTACCAGGGGATCTGGTCGACGCTAAACACTCAGGGGAAGGATGAGACGGATATACAATTAGATAGTTACTGGTACCATCGAAATTGGAACTCTTCGCTTGCTGCTGAAGATGGGGACTGAGCACTTATGGGAGTGTCCTGAGTACTGTGATGTTGATTCCTAATTCAACATTCAACATATATTTTTTTTTTAACTTATGAAACAATCACACCTAGATAAAGATTAAAATTACAAAATCAACAATAACTAGCATGTATGTCAGTTCTAAGTGGAGATATTAACATTTAATTTACCACCACAGACAAATTATAGTGTAATTTGACAAAATATGGATTCCGGGCTGCAGTCCAGCAAAATGTAAGATGAAGTAATAAAATGTTTGCATTTTATCATTATAACATCCAACATAAAATTTTATGAACTCTAAATAATGGCAGATGCAAAAAAATTGAAACACTGGTTGTGTTTTTGTTTTTTTAACTGAACGAACCACCAGAACTTTCTGCCAGAGTTAACAGCTGGCAAACATGATGAAGAAGATTCCCCTCTGTTTGTTTTTTCTAAGTAAAATGTATCCTTTATTATTATTGAAGTCTTCCATGTGGCCAGGTAGTAAGCTGTCTGTCATAAAGCCCACACTAGCGTTCTCAGTTCTTTCACGAACTTAGCCTGTTGTCTTTTATTCTTCTTCTTATTCTTCTTCACTTCCTCTTTTACCGCTGTGGGTGTCGAGGGAGATATAAGGTTCTGTTTCTAGCTCTTCTGGCTGCCTCGACCATAGGCACATCGTGCTGTTGTAGAGTTTCTCTGATGTTATCCTTCCATCTTGTTCTTGGTCTACCCCGTGCTCTACGTCCTTCTTCTCTTTCCATGTATGCTTTGTATGGTATGGTGTCACAAGGCATTCTTTCTAAGTGGGCAAACCATTTCACTTGCTGTCTTTGTATGTAATCCAGAATTGGTTCTGTGCCGACTTGTTCTCTTATGATCTCATTCCTGATCTTATCTCTTATGGTCACTCCTACAGCCCTTCTCAGACATCTAATTTCCGTGATGTATTTTATTATTCAGTGACACTTCGATGAGGTAAATATCTTGCCATTATTTTCTATGTCGAGGCAGATACTTTGTTTTTTTCAACTGTATTATGTGATCAGAACCATAAAAGTATCATGTTGAGTAGCAGGGTACCACACTAATCATCTTTTTGTCCCTTTGGGAACAAGTAACAAAGTCAGAAGAGAAACGATTATTACGGCCTGGAGAGAGTGATGCACCTGGGTGTAACTACAGGGTCTGGTCAGCTCATTAAACTCAGAGGAAAGGCAAGACGGACATATAACCAGATTACAACTATAGCCATTAGTATTGGAACTCTGCGCTAGCTGCTGAAGATGAGGATGGAGCGCACATGGGAATGCCCCGAGTGCTGTGATGTCATTTCTTGACTTAACTCAACTCATGTATCTAATTTCTGATATTTTCTACGTAGATCTCAAACCGTTGTCAACAGAGAACAGTAGTAGAACTGCTGTTTTTCAGACACGTCAGCTGTCTAAAATGGTGGTCCACTTGTCAGCTCTGATCTTTCCACTGATCATCATCTACAGTGCAGTACCTGGATCAAGTAAGTCTTTTGATCATTTGCTTTATTGGCTATCCTTCGAATAACGGTCCCATATTATCGAGGCTGAGAAAATACCCTAACAGGGCCTCAATGCTTGTGACTGTGCTGCCAGGAAACTGCGCTAAATATTTAGTAAACAACGTGCGACTAGTGCGGCCGTGGTAACGTCGCGTCCACGTAAGTTCCATCCAAAACCCTTCAGTCCATAGTATCGCGGTTCCACTGTTGTGACAGATTCTGGTGACGGTGTCGTAATTGCAATACTTCTTACCCTAACTCTAACCCTAAACCTAGGACCAGGGGAGAAATTAACCCTAGGACCTATGGGAGAAGTTAAACCTAGCACTCAGTGTCGGAGCTGTTGACACCCTCGATTATTTTGGACCGTTATTAAGAGGAGTGTTTCATGCGGTATATTCACCAGAAAGAAGTCTGCAATTTACATATGATTGAGGCCCTGTTAGGGTATTTTCTTAGCCTCGATAATTTGGGACCCTTATTCAGAGGATAGCCGCTTTATTATATCCTTATTTTGCCTCCCAGTGGAGCATAAGCCTGTGGGTAAATAAAGTAAACAACCTTTTTCACACCATTCGTGTGTCAGAAATATGGTGCTAGACACATTGTTATAGACCAATCAACGCTGAGGTGGTGATGTTGTCATTATCATACCAGCTACTTTTACTTCCCTTGACATTATCGGCTAATTTAAGCTGAAACGAGAGTTTGAAGTTCATTCAATAAGCATACGCATTTTTTTTAAGGTATTCAGTTCACCCCCTCCTGGACTGCTGCTTAGCGGGTTTACAGCACAGTGACTTTATCTTGTCACCCTTAGAAGGTTAAATCTGGTCTACTTAGCGGGTTTATAGCACGGTGACTTTATCTTGTCCCCCTTAGAAGGTTAAATCTGGTCTACTTAGCGGGTTTATAGCACGGTGGCTTTATCTTGTCACCCTTAGAAGGTTAAATCTGGTCTACTTAGCGGGTTTATAGCACGGTGACTTTATGTTGTCGCCCTTAAAAGGTTAAATCTGGTCTACTTAGCGGGTTTATAGCACGGTGACTTTATCTTGTCCCCCTTAGAAGGTTAAATCTGGTCTACTTAGCGGGTTTATAGCACGGTGACTTTATCTTGTCACCCTTAGAAGGTTAAATCTGGTCACTTCTGACTGTTTAAATGCCAGTATCTGACTGTTTAAATGTCAGTATCTGACTGTTTAATTGCCAGTATCTGGCTGTTTAAATGCCAGTATCTGACTGTTTAAATGCCAGTATCTGACTGTTTAAATGCCAGTATCTGACTGTTTAAATGTCAGTATCTGACTGTTTAAATGCCAGTATCTGACTGTTTAAATGCCAGTAGCTGACTGTTTAAATGCCAGTATCTGACTGTTTAAATGCCAGTATCTGACTGTTTAAATGCCAGTATCTGACTGTTTAAATGCCAGTATCTGACTGTTTAAATGCCAGTATCTGACTGTCTGCAGTGGCCTGATCTCAAAAAGTGTTGTTAAATTCCATTGGTCCTGTGTGCGCCTTTGTGGTGTTTAATAGACCAGGATATGAATATTGTAACTGAAAATATTTTTAATAGGGTTCTCTGCTCTTTTTGTAAAGCCAAAATGATGTCTAAATTTCCCGTAAGCCTCAGTTATAGAGTTTACGGGGTCACAGCCCCTGAAAATGTGTTCCTTAATGCTTCACCCCTAATCACTTGATTACCCTCTAGTCTTTAGTCCAAGTCCACCCTATATTCATCATTAATCATTGAAAAAGGGATAAATGATATTGTCGTGTGCTTTGGTAGGCCATATAAAGCATGGTTTTTGTAATGTTACACTTTGATAACTATTTCCTGCTATTTTGTTTTCTTCAGGTCTTTTCTCATGGCATCCAACATTAATGGCACTTGGTGTAAGTTTAAAATTCATTTACCTAAGCTACATTAGTACTTTTAAGTATCTTCTTCACGCCATTGGGGCATGGGTAGTATGATGCTGTATCCATATTTGTATTCACCAATTAAGAAAAAGTAAAGGACCTTCTTCAATGCCTTCAAGGCTAGACCTATATTTTATAGACCAATCGGCACTTGGTAGGTGATGTGGTTAGCATCACATTGGCCACCTTTACTTTCCAAGACTTTGCCTGGTACCAGATTAAGGCTGGGTCAACCTGGAAGCCAAGATAATTTTGGGGGAAAGCCCGGCTCTCTCAAGACCTAAACCCTTGATATTTGGATCTGCAGGCAAGCATCTAGCCACTACACGACAGGGGCTCCTTAGACACCAATTAGTGTTTTGTAAATTATCTAGATAATATCATGCGAGCTGCCAGGACATATTGTCGTATCTATTTTAGGCTCGGTCAATATGGAAGCTGAAGCTGGATTTAAAAATTCACCTCAATTAAATTTTAAACATGGCCCCTGGGCCATAAGGCTAGCTTACGAGGCACTTGACTGCCATAGCTTACGGTACACTAAGAGTTTAAAATGTGCTTTAAAAAAAATTATGTAACATCTTTAACACCTTATATATACTATGAATGCATCCCTGAGTTAAAAACAGACATCATGACACAGCACTCATGACATTCCCACAATCATCCTCAGCATTCAGCAAAGAGTTTCACTTCCAATGATACCAGTAGCAGTCTGGTTGTATGTCCCTTATGCCTTTCCCCTGAGTGTGAAGTCTCGGCCAGATCCCCTGGTTGTGTGTCCCTTATGCCTTTCCCTTGAGTGGGAGTGTCGGCTAGATCCCCTGTTTGTTTGTCCCTTATGCATTTCCCCTAAGTGTGGAGTGTCGGCCAGATCCCCTGGTTGTATGTCCATCTTGCCTTACCCTGAGTGTGGAGTCTCGGCCAGATCCCCTGTTTGTTTGTCCCTTATGCCTTTCCCCTGAGTGTGGAGTCTCGGCCAGATCCCCTGGATGTATGTTCATCTTGCCTTTCCCCTGAGTGTGGAGTCTCGGCCAGATCTCCTGGTTACTGCCTGCTGCATCATTCTTTTCAGACCTTTATGGTCCGTTTATGCTTCTGCACTGTTAATTATTACCTTTTAAGGTTGAACAGAAATTGTGTTTTGTTCTTATTGGATTGACATCTGAGTTTTGTCCCTTAGGTCACAGTGGTTTGAAACCATTGTATGGTCCCCCTCATCCTAAATAAAATGTGTGTAAATTTCTTGGTACTTCTCTTATTATATCTGAAGCAGTCTTTTATTGACAAGAATTTTCATTTCTTTTGTCCAGGTTTCATTTTTCATGTTGGAGGGTATTGTGATCTTCTCCAAGAGCTCATCATTGTTTCCTAGCATGGCTCGTCCGACAAAAGCCAGCATTCACTACTGGCTGATGGGATTAGGGGTGTCTTGTGTCATTGCCGGTAAGTTCTTTAGTTGGTTGTTTACTGGTTGGTTGTTTACTGGTTGGTTGTTTACTGGTTGGTTGTTTACTTGTTGGTTGTTTACAGGCTGATTATTGGCCTGTTAGTTATTTACAGTTGATTGTTGATTGGTAGGTTGTTATACTGGTTGGTTATTTAAAGGTTTGTTGTTAACTGATTGTTTGTAGGCTGGTTGGTTGTCAGTTTTCTGGAATACTGTAAGTTAAACTATTAAGCCCAGTGTGTTGACATTTAGTTCATCTGAGTCCCGAGAAGGGTGCATGTCATTAGGAGAGAGGTATATGTCTTTGGGAGTGAGGTATGTGTCTTTGGGAGTGAGGTATGTCTTTGGGAGTGAGGTGTGTGTCATTGGGAGGCATATGTCTTTGGGAGTGAGGTATGTGTCTTTGGGAGTGAGGTGTGTGTCTTTGGGAGTGAGTTATGTGTCTTTGGGAGTGAGGTATGTGTCTTTGGGAGGCGTATGTCTTTGGGAGTGAGCTGTGTGTCTTTGGAAGAAAGTTGGTGTAAACTTTTCTTTTAAATTAGCACTATAACACTATTTCCTTGGAGAAATTGAGCTCTTCCCCACCACCACACAAAAAAAACCCACACATTTGAAAAGTAATTCCTAAAGCAGCAAATGCTGACACCCTTGAGTATTACACAAAGTACAAGCTCTGTAGTCTCATAGTGATTTCGATAAAAACTGCACTATCAAGTGCTACCAGAATAACCTCATGCTTACCATTTGGTCTTCAAGAACGGCAGGGGAAACACGTAGACATTCTTCATCATCCTAGAAGACTTTTATTGATATGGTCAACATATTCAACTCTGGATCTGGAGTTACCAAAAATAATAAAATGGTGTCTAATCTGTGTATATGTACTATTCACTAGAGAATGGTGGTGGAGAATACAGTTTCTTGAAAATGGTTTCTTTCCACATTGAAGTCTGAAGGTGTCATCATCATCATCATCATGTACCCTGCCAATTGGCGTAGGCGTTCGTGCGTCTCCACAGATCATGATCCCTGGTTGACTGGAACAGCTCTCTTGATGATATCCCTCCATGCCCGTTGTTTTAGCTCACCTAGCACCATCTCTCTTGGTCTGCCTCTACCCCTTTTTCCACTGATCTTTCCAGTTGCCACGATGTTCTCCAGTGTCTTTCTTCGTCTCAGAAACCACATCTCTGTTGCTTCCAGATTCTTCTTAATTTGATCAGTGACATTCCAAGATTCGCTGCCATACAGCAGAACAGGTTCTATGTAACATTTTAGCACCCTTTTTCTGACATTAAATCAGAGCGATTTATTGCTTAAGATATTTTTCATTCTCTTAATTGCAGCTTTTGCTTGACCTATTCTGCTTTTAATCTCTATCACACATTTTCGAAGAACAAGAAAAAACTCAGGGGATCTTGAATGTAGTAGTCTCTAGAGAATAGTCATCTTTGGAGTTCATGTTTCATGCTTTGCTCTTGGCAGGTGAGTATTCGAGAAAGACTGAGCCATATAGAATCAAATCTGGTGCAGCAAAGCTGATTTTCTCTACTTGAAAGTATTTAAACTCTGGATAAATCCAGTGGTGCTCTGATGTTCTCCTCAATAGCTCCACCAGCATGAAATTAAACAGGTGGCACCTCATATCTGTGAACTTGGACAAGAATGCAGATTCATGCTGATCGCTGTAAGTCCTCCTTCCTCGCGTTCACCAGCTGTACACTCTGGCGGAAGGTTCTGGTTGCTCGTCCACTACTGAACTGCAGTCCTGTTCCAGAACCTGAGTGTTGCGTGTGCATCAGTTTTACAGATCTCATTCTCTTGAATACAGACTGTCGGTTCCTTGCCTCTCCGGCAGATGCACTCCGACTTCAAAGGAAGCTCCCCAATTAGTCGACTCTTACGACATGCTTTTGGGGAGGCAGTGAGTCTATTCTTGTTTTCCCCACAATGGGGCCCCGGAACCCACACGGGGAATCGCTGTAAGTGTCTTTGAGTCTGGCATAGCAATGATGACATCACTCCTGTCCATTGTCAGACCAGTCCTAGTAACAGTGTCTGCCGGACTGACTATTTGAGTAAAACCCTTATCTGCATGAGGACTAGTGAGTTGAATTTAGTTGTATTTGTTTTCCTAGGTCTTGTGGTGATCTACTTGAACAAGGAACAAGCCGGCAAACCCCACTTCACATCCTGGCATGGACTTTTTGGGGTCATCACTGTGGGTTACGCTTGTGCACAGTCGACTGGGGGCGCTGTTGCAAAGTATCACAAGTACTTGGGGCATATTATCAAGGTAGTATCATTGTCATCAATATCATCCTCATCTTGCTGCTGTACCATTAGACCCCACCTAGGATTCATAGTTTTTTCTTCTGTTCCATTCCGGCCATGGATGGAATCTAGTCCAGCATCTTTGGTCTCTCTCATCAATTTTTTTCTGAAGGTTTCTTATCATGAGACATGTATCTTAGTATGATTATTACAATATTTCGTTCCCCGCATGGGCTTTGGAGCCCCATTACGGCACAACACAAGAATATACACCCCCTCCACCCCACCCCCCACAAGACAATTGTTGTAAGAGTCGAATAATTAGGTGTTGCCATCAAAGTTGGAGTGCATCTGCCCAAGAAGCTAGAAATCAAAAGTCTACTTACAAGTGAGCCAGATCTGTAAAATGGATGAGCATGAAACACTCAAGTTCCGGATCAAAACCAATATCCAGAAGTGTTTGACACAACCAGAACTTTCCACCAGCGTTTACAGCTGGTGAACACGAAAGAAAGTGATAGCCTGTAGTAAGTATTTCGGCATTAATTCACTAGATAAGCATTTTTAGCATTGGTCATACACCATAAAACTGTTTTCCTCTTTTTCTCAAGTCCACTTTTAGAGGTGAGGATGGCACATTGTGTAATTACTGGCATCATGACACCCATTGGACTGCCATGTTTAGGGCATATAGAGAAAATTGTAGAGGGAGATACTAAAGCTGCATATACAAAAGAGATATGGGAGTAGACCCTGAGGTAGGTCAAGAAAACAGTGAAGAAGTCAGATAGAGAATGATCTGTGAATTCTTGGAGTCACCAGCTAGAAGGAGAAAGCCAGTCACAGAGATGAATGGAAAGTGGTGATTTCTGCAGCAGTGAGCAGCTTGCAGTTCTGCTGAATGAAAAGATAATGATGATTGATTATGGATTAAGAGGACTGAGTTTGTATAGGCATTTTCTGAATGTAGTTATATCAGTTTTTACTTCATTCATTTGATTCTTTTGGTGAGCCTAGCATCAGAGCATCATGCGTCAGCTCTGCATTTATGGAAGCTTCCTTGGATGACAGGGAATGCTCATGCCTTCCCTCGGGGGCCGACCAGTTTACGCGCGGTTTGCCCTAGATGGGTTCTCTGGGGCAACACCTGTAGATAAGAGGACAAATATTAGAACACCACACAAATAAGCTATGTCGTATCCCATGAAAGTTTACGGAAAGTTGAACCGGTCACCAAATACTCAGTGAAGTCGGATGTGTTGGCCGAAAGCCACAAATGTTGCAGCTTTGCTATAAACAGGCACATTACAGTTACATCACTCTGACAAACAAAAAGAAGATTTCATAGTTTTTATTTTAAGATATAACTAAATCAGTCAAATCTTTTCCATGGAGACACCAATCTACCATAACTTTTGCTCTTTGTTCTTTCATTCCAGATTCGGCTGGCCGATTTGAAACTGTATCATGCTACATCTGGTCTACTGGCTTACTTGTTGATTACAGTCACCTTGCTGTTATCCCTGCAAACCAGCTGGGCATTAAGCACACTCCACTGGACTTTGTGGTATGCCTGTTTTGGTTGTGTGGGTGTCTCAGCCCTGGTGGTAATGATACACATTACAACCACGTATGTGCCTCAAGCTTCAAGGAGCAGTTAGGCCGAGTTGCTGACAATGTGAAATATTATTTGAATAAAAGTTTCTATTTTTTCTACTTGCTCATTTGTTTGGGCACATATACAATATTTTACATTGTTTCTTTAGATATTTTTTATAATTATTTTAAGAGTTATCATCATTAGTGTTCATGTGCTATTAGTTAATCTGTACCAAGAAGATTGAAAGGATGAACAGTCAGAGTGATTAAAACTTAAACATGATAGTATACACATAAGAAGGATGAGAACAGACATATATACAATGTATGTTACTCATGTTTTATTAGATGTTTTTATCATTATTTTAAGTTATTGTCGTTGATGTTTGCGTGTATTTAGTTATTCTGTATCAAGACAGATGAAACACGATAAAACAGAATATTGAAAAACTCAAACTCTGAGACTAAAGATATAGTATTAAAAATATTTATAAAGACTTACCTAAATAGCACATCATGATGGTGGTATGTTATTCACCAAATTACCCTTTAATTACTTCTCTCTCTTGCTTTTCTTGTGCAGCCAATTTTCCTCTGTCGACCGCTTAACACCTGTCCGATGAACCAACCGAAAGCTTGTCACCTTTGTCGTAAAGTAGTCGACTAATCGTATTTGCTACCGCAGTGACAAATAACCATATCATCTTGTCCCTGTCTGAGAAAATCTGGTAAAGTGCAGCAGGGGAAGATCAAGGTCTGGGAGTCATGACCCAGGTCGGCCCACCTTCCGAGATTGAATAGGAATGGTAACGGGCGGAAACAATCGTCGACGAGGGATCTTTCTACTGATGATCGGTGGATCCTTGCTGTACATGCTACCCTGTGGAGTTCTTCTTACAGTCTTTGTTTGAACAGACCTGATGTTGGTGATGGCATCTGACAATATGGCCATTCTAGTGCTAGCGTCACCTATAATAATGATGTTCTCAAGTTTGAAGAAGTCTTGTGGGCCTCTTTGTTTAAATGGTAAACTGTTTGCCTTGAGCATTGATGGTCATGTGTTCATTTCACAAACTGCACGGTTCAGCTCACACGTTTAGAGCATGAGGCAAATAGTCTAACCACAGATAATATGTACCGTCCACATTGTGAACAAATACACGGCTGGCTTTCATAACGAGTCTTCAGCATGTCTGTTCTAGTTGGAAGCAGACGTCATACATCTGAACTGCTTCCTTCTGCCAAAATTTAGTTGAAGAAGAAAACAAAACACTTTTTATTAGATGAATTTTTCATGTGGGTTGCTAGGCCATATTGGGGGGGGGGGGGGGGGGCAAATCCCCCCACCAATCATACTTATCTGAAATAGGATGTGTGGGCCAAAAGGCACAGCTATCGCAGCCTAGCTGTGAATCACAACACAACTTGCTAACCATCCTTTAAAGGCGAACGCAGAAGCTAGATAAATGTTGATGTTAAAAAGAAAAATATATGTTTTGCATTTAACCAGTTTTAATGTAATCAGTTTTTTCCTTCTCACTGCCTTTGATTTCAATAATGTCACAGCTTGAATAAATAAAAATTGAATACATGAGAGACGGTCTGAAGTTTATTAACTGATTTTCTTTTGAAATCAAGGTTTTTTTTCCCCTGATTTAAAAAAAATCTCAGTAAAGGGTCATTTTCACCCACACAGAAAAAAGTTTTGTTGAGGACCATTTTCACCCCTATTCACACATTAGATATATGGTGCTAGACCCAAAGATTTATATGTTTAAAACTTCACTTGTAGTCCTCTTTTGGGTTTACAGGGCATGTGGTAAAAAGTGACTAGGTTGGGATTGGCTAAAATTGGATGTGGTGTGCCCAAAAAAATGCAGATATCACAGTCTAGCTGTAAACTACAACACATCAGACTGACATTTTACACGGACATGACATCACACTAAGCGATAAACACCTGGTGACACAAAGTGCCACCATGCGGATGAGAGGTCCCAGAAACTTTGTTTAACCGTAAGTTTATATTAGGGCCCCCCGGCAACAACCAGGGTAGGGCTTAAAAATAACGAAAAATGTCACCCTCATGGGGGACAGATATGCAACAACACATCATAGCAACCAGCCTTTCTAAGGGCAAACGTAGAAGAAGAAAAAGACATTTATTTGGTAACGAAGTCCGCATCAAGCCAGCTGCCTTTAAGTTTTAGGACTTTTCCTGATTCTATTTTAGGCTGTTGTGGGAAATAATATTCTGGTCTCAAGACTCAGTAAAAGGAAAACCCCAACTGCACCTCCGTGCGGTAGAGGATGGTAAACACACTGTGGTGTGGCCAACGTAGCTATGGGGACCAAGTATCCGCGTAGTGGACACCTCTGGGGTGCCCTCTGCTGTTAGTAGGAGCATCACAGACCAGGGCACTCACTTCCCCTAGCAATTAAAAAAGGTTGCTGAAGGCTGAGTATGTAGTCTAAGGCCATGTGGATGTGGAAAGCAAGGGGAAACTACCACATTATTATCCCAAGAAACTTATCACAGGATATAAGTGACTCTTTGAGTATGAAAATACATGAGGCGGGAGAGCTGGCGGCCGATTTTCTTTCAGGCAGACTGATGAGAGCAAAGGCTCTGCTACATGATGATGATTTTAACATAACTAGAAATGGATTTGAACCCAATATATTTGGCCTTTCAGGCAAGTGCCTAGCTACTGCACAATCAAAGGATTTTTGGCTTGGTCTTTCTTCTTCATTTTTCTCCTTCTTCTTGGCATACATATGCTATAAGCTCTAGCTAAAAGCTTCTGTTGTTCATCTACTCCTGGACTCTGGTCTTGATTCAGAACTTCAGTTTTGAATGCACATCTATTTAACAGATCTGGCTTATTTGTATGCAGCCTGTTGGTTCTTTGCCTATCAGGCAGATACACCAACTCTGAAGGAGACACTCCTAATAGGTCGCCTCTTATGACATGCTTGTTGAGGAGGGGGTGGTGAGCAGTAGTTCCATTCTTTTGTTCTCCAAAATGGAGCCCCGGAACTCACACGGTGAGCTCTGTCTTTCCACAGACTCGACTGTCGCCGAGAACATGAGCTTCACAGTTCCCTCCAGGAGCAACCCCTGACAGAAAAATATGAAATAAGCATGTTATTCTTGTTCTTCTTTCGTCGTCGTCTTCTTCTTCATTGTTTGTCCTTTCAAAAAACGGTCATCATACCGTGTTGTTAGGTTAGGTTAGTTGCGTATTCTTTACAGGACGTTGCAGAACCAACCCCAACAGCCCCTGGCTGTTGTGTGGTTTTTCTAGGCAATTTACGTCCAGTAGTTTGCCATTGCTCCCGGACGGTCGGCTTTCTTGATACCACTGTCGAAACCAACGCAAGGCGCATGGCCCGCAGCTGGCATCGAACCCGGCATTACGAAGCGTTCGCATCGACTTAGCCACAGAGCCGACGTGTTGTATGGACCGCATAAATATTGGAGATACTGACAAATACTATATACAAAGCCAACAGAAGTACCATTCCAGAGATCTCTTCCTGCTCCGATGCTGCGAAGCATTTAAGAAACATAGGAAGGAAGAAGAACATATTAGCGAGCCACCTGTTAGTGCATACTTGATAATGGGGGGTGAGTCTATCCCCCACCCCCAAATAAATAAGGAGACCCCCAAACTATCTGCCCCTCACCACCTTACACGTTTCGAAGGCAAATAATTGGGTGGAGGATACAACCTCAGGTCTTTGAGTGCCCCCACCCCCTCCATTAACAATTAAAAAGGGGGTGGGGAGTGCCCAATGATTTTATCAGAAGGATAAGATGTGTGTATAGAAATAATAGCTTTCCTGACCCTAAACCGGCTTTGTTTTGTTTAGCCCAGAAATTCCTGATAACAAATACACGCTTTAATATTATTATTAGTTACGGCAAATATGCAGTATCGTTGAGTATGGGGCAACTATATACCCAGTTGACACACAAGCAGATACTCCGGAGTATAAAGTGAATTTTATCAGAACTATTTGTTTGGCCAACACTATGCTAGCAGTGCCAAACGTGGACACTTACATCCTTAGTGAACGTAAAATTGTGACAACAGAAATGAAATGTCTTAGAAGAGCTGCAGGAGTTTCAAGGAAAGACAGAATACAAAATCAGACGAATGCTAGGAATAAAGCCAGTCTTACAAGTCATCAAAAAACAACAAATGAAGTGGTTTGGACACCTAAAAAGAATGCCCTGGTACTACTTGCCACATCAAGCCACACTAAAACGTTACAACTGGTATAGAGCAAGTGGAAGACCTCGGAGAATATGGAGTGATGGCATTAAATAGCCTTACAGAAATGAACATCAGTCTTGATAGTGCTCTTGACAGAGCTCACCAACGAATGTTACATCCCCCCCCCCCCCCGACACTTCGCTGAGGTACAAGGTGCAAGAGAAGAAGAAGTATCGTTGAAACCGGCTGGTTTTCCTGTATATTTTATTCGAAGTCAGGTGAAGTGACTGCATTATAAGCCACATTCAACAAAGAGCTAAACATTTGGGGGGGGGGGGGGGGGGGGGGCTCGAAGGACCTGAGATCCTAGGTTCCGGCACCTATGAACGTATAAAGAATGGAGAAATAAATACGAGCCCTGTGTGGCATATAATAGCAAAACGGGAGAACAAATCGATGTTATGCACAAGTTAGTTAGTTAGTTAGTTAGTTAGTTAGTTAGTTAGTTAGTTAGTTAGTTAGTTAGTTAGCTAACTAGCTAGCTAGTTAGCTAGTTAGTTAGTTAGTTAGTTAGTTAGTTAGTTAGTTAGTTAGTTAGTTAGTTAGTTAGTTAGTTAGTTAGTTAGTTAGTTAGTTAGTTAGTTAGTTAGTTAGTTAGTTAGTTAGTTAGTTAGTTAGTTAGTTAGTTAGTTAGTTAGTTAGTTAGCTAGCCAGCTAACTAACTAACTAACTAGTTAGCTAGTTAGTTAGTTAGTTAGTTAGCTAACTAGCTAGTTAGTTAGTTAGTTAGTTAGTTAGTTAGTTAGTTAGTTAGTTAGTTAGCTAGTTAGTTAGTTAGC